GTATTACACGTTAACAACAAAGTGAATGCCCTACGGGCTTACAGCTTTCCAAGTTAACACTTGGTTACAAAAGAGAGTATTGACCCGGTTACACATTAAGCCCTTGGCTTGAATTTACAAGTAATACATCAAAAGGAAGAATAAGGCAACAAAAGTAAGTTTACCCCTAGTCTCCCAAGCTATTTCCTCAGAAGTGGCATGCTACCTGTACCTGAAAATGATGTTCCCATATAGGGTGAGCCACAGCCCAGCAGAGATATACTAAACCAACTATAAACAATGCCTAAAAGATTAGCAACTGAAAGATGGTCGATACTTACACCTCCATTTACATCTTATTTCAATTCCATGACAACCAAGTCTACATTACAATTCACTTTTCATTTCTCGTTCAACATTGGATTTGAAAACAGGGCTCAGTACTCTGGCCAAAACATTTTGATGAGATTATAGTTCATCACTAGAACATTTTCAAAATTTACGGTGGATACCCATTTTGGTGCTGTATCAATAACACATAAACTACTCCCATATCATACTCACAAATATGATGATATACATTATATGCTAATAGTCAAATTCAACAAACTTTCCAATGGATAAGATATGAGGCTATAATACTACCTGACACAGATAAGCATATGAACGTATCAACGTTCAATAGATAACATAGAGCTATAATCAAATAACAGATAAGCATATGACTATATATACTGCAACAGATAAGCATATAGCTATATCTCTACATCTTCCTAGAAAAGCATGATGAGCTGTATATACATACAATAGAAAGCATAATGAGCGTAAATTTTCACTTGTCTGACAAGCATAATAAGCTGTATCTAACGGATTCATTCCCCATATCCTCAATCTATCCCGGTTAGAGGTACATCCCTCTTCATATTGCTAAACCGTGGGTAATCCCCATCTTCTCTACACAAAGTAATGCATATAAACAAGAATCATATACAGCATTGATCAATAATATAAGTTAATGTATTCTAACCAACCGTCTACACATAATGCATTAAACAGCATGGTCATTTATATCGAACAGATTTCAATACATATAATAATGTATTCTAACCAACGTCACTATGACACATACGATTGATTAGTTTTTATTTGCCTTAATCAATACATGCATTGTCTACAACAATCAAAGCACCCCAGCCGGGTAAACCAAAAGCAATATTCTTAATGCAGGTAAACAAATGCCACATTGATAATATAAGAATATTATCTAGATGAGCACAAAAGTATTTGAACTACAATCTTTAGTCTCATACATTCCGATTAGTTCAACATATCTCATATTCACAATTCTTTAGTCTCTTCAATAATTACTGCTTAAGTTATTAAACAATTAGGGCAAATTACGGATAATCTCACAAACAACCCTAAGGTTCCATTTCACATCTAAATGTCCAGACAATTTTACATATTTTCTTCTATGCGAACGATGCATATAGGTTTATATATTTTAAAAAACCACAACTTTTGTAAAATTACACGAAAGGTCTAAATTTGCTCAAAAGTTACGGCTGCATACAACCCCAAGATAAAAGTCTAAAAAGTTCAAAGTACAAAGCTCATAAGATGGAGTAGGTTTATCCTT